GCAGGTTTTGTTTAAGCGGTACCTACGAAGGCACATTAGATTCTTACCAGATATAGGAGCTAGTTAATTTGCTCCTTTCTCCCTCTCTCTCAGCTGACTCTGCCTTAAGCGTTACAGTGTTTAAATAATAGCATACCTATTTGCGTATTGTTAATTTAGATTGATTCACTGTTTCCTCGCTACAATAGTATCTACTGTTAGATACAAAAGGACAGAACACCTTGCTTTATTCTATTCATTCACTTCTTTTAAAATTATACATATTAAAAGTTAAGTTTTAGTTAGGCACTAATTGTAATTACTTTTGAAATTAATAGATAAGTTTCTACCTTGTCATCCATTGCAATTTTTCCTCAATTTAATGATACTTGGTGGTAGATTTTGTTTTCTTTTTTCTTCAGTATTTTCTTCTCAAGTCACAATCAACAATTTAAGGGTTATCCCTAATTTTTTCTTTGCTACCACCATTACCCTGCTTTACTCTATAGGCTCTATTCTCTCTAAGTAACTAACAATCATACATGTTTTCAGATGCTCCTGTGGAAATCTTTTTATACTTTTTGTTCATTGTCTGCATGGAGAAATTATTTTTGGGGTTTAAGAATTATCAACCATGAAACCATCCCTTGTCAGGATGATACTGAGTCCCTGCACCTGGATATGTTGGGATTTTAGGCTATTTGTAGGTTCTCCCTTTCTACTTTACGTGTAGGGTTGCAAACACTGACACACATACAGATACATAGACACACAGATACAAATACTGACACACCTGCAGGTACACAGACACAAACACTGCCGCACATACTCATAGATACAAATACTGACACATACAGACACTGACACAGACTGAGACATGCGGATACACACATAGATACAACCACTGATACATGTAGATACACATATACACACACTGACAGACACTGACACAGATACAGATACACAGACACACAAACATTAACACACATAGTGATACAAAATATAAATTAGGGAATTGGACACACACAAAAAATACAGTTTTAAATTTTAAAAGGCTACTTAAAAACATCTATCATAGTAAACAAATATGTGTATTAATATATGATTCAGTTACACCAAATGGTCATATTTTGTTAAACCCACCACTACGTCACAGTACTCCAATATCGGTGGGTCCTACACTAATTGTAACACAGGAGGTTAACATATTCCTTCAATATTAACTTCTTAAACTGCTTCCAGAGACTCTTCTCAATGTATGCTTTCGTGTGATCACCTCCAAAGGGGCACCTGTAGTGAATGGGTGGAGTATTCAACCCAATAGGAATCTGATCTGGATTCCAAATCATTATACAGAAAAAAGGGGAATTGGGGCACAACCAGGACATGCATTTCTAAGTAGTAATGCTACCATAAAGACCAACATATATACAACATATAGATTAGAAAACAGCACATGCACAAAAAAATATACAGGTTTAAATTTTACAAGGTTATTTAAAATCACCTATCTTAGCAAACAAATATGGGGATTCAGTTGCACCATATGGCCATATTGTGTTAAGTCCACCACCATGTCAAAGTACCTATAGACACATAGAGATACACAGACACAAACACTGACACACATACAGATACACATGGTGGTAATTTTTAGCTACCTTCCTAATTCCTACCTTTTAGTGCATGAAGGTGTCTGCTAGCTGGGAGGAAGTGACTGTCTGCCACTTCCTCCCAGTGCTGGCTACAGATTAAAAAGGAATGCACAGTGCATGACCAGGTGCACTGGCCATCTGATGGGCCCCCGGAGCATGCGGGCACCAGTGCAGCTGCACCGGCTGCAGCTGCGGTAGTTCTGCCGCTGCTTAAATTATATATAGATATATTCTTTTTGTCAAACTTTATATAGCTGTATTCTTTTTGTAAATTAAACCAATCTCTATCAAAGCTACTATTGCCTCATCCCTTTGTTTCTAGATGTAACTATTTTTCACCATCTTTGATTTACAAAGATCATCTGTGAAGACCCATTCTCCAAAAAAGCCCCTTTGCTTTTTTTTTTTTACTACAGCTGCTGCTCTGAGTTAATTCCTGATATTCCCAGAGGTACCTGGGAAGACAAAGACTGTTGAATTTTCTGCCCACATCCCCATCCCCATCCCCTTTTGTAGAATATCATTACACAGTAAGGGAATGAAACAAGGACAGCAGCCGCAGATAGGCTGAGTAATTGACATCCACCACTGGAAGACCGAGATGCGTCTCAAAATCTGAGAACCATAGCACTAGCAGCCCTAAGTATTAATTGTAATGATGTCCCTAGGCCCTAGTAATATTAAGTTATATAATAGAAAAAAATGCTTTAAAAGGTAATAATGCTACCTCAGGTTCTGCAAACATTCATAAAACCAGTCAAGCTATAGTTTATTATGATATATCCAGAATCCCCAAATAGCATTATTTTCCCATACTGTATGGTTCAACATTAGGTATGCCCTCTTTCTTTCTATGATAACACCAGCAATACCAGGAACCCAGGACATACTTGAAAACGAAAGAAATCTCAATGTATTTTTCCTGGTAAAATATTTTATAAATAAATAAATAAATAATATAAGTGGAAGTAAAGGAGGCTATTTAGTATGACCTCTGATTTAAAAGATTAACTTTATTAAAAACTGGTATAAAATATGTTAGGGTTGAAAAATTGGATATTTGTGGATTAATTATGTGTGAATGTTTTGTTAAGTCTCTGCTGCTGTTGACAAAGCACTACCTGCATGAAAAATATCCACTGTGCCAATCCTATGGATATGTGTCAGATTGAATGTTCAAATAATGCAATATGTCAACTTCGACATTATTCATTATTCACATGTTTAGGTTAGAAATTGTACTGGGATTGGTGAACAGCATTGGTCAGATGGTAATAATGTTATAGAGATATTTTTATGGGAACCCGCAGCCTTGAACCAAGTGGCCTAAGGCAGTATTGAAAGTGATTTTCTACTAAGTACTCTGTTCCTTATATTTACAAATTCTGGAAAAAAGCCTTTTAGAGTATATCATTACTCTGTACTTCACAAGCTACAACCCTATCTCCCCCTTTTTTTTCCACTCTTGTCTCTGATATACACTATTCAGCAACAACATTAAAATCACTGACAGGAGTAGTGAATAACATTGATTATAGAGTTACAATGGCACTGTGAACGGGTGGGATATATTAGACAGCAAGTGAACTGTCAGTCCTTGAATTTCATGTGTTGCAGGCAGGAAAAATGGGCACGCGAATAGATCTAAGTGACTTTGAAAATTGCCAAATAGTGATTGACCACTGAGTCAGAGCATTTCCAAAACAGCAACTCTTGTGGGGTGTTCCAGGTATGCAGTGGTTAGTGCCTACCAAAAGTGGTGCAAGGAAGGACAACAAGTAAACTGGAGTCAGGGTCATGGGTGCTCAAGGCTCTCTGATGCACGTGTGGAGCGAAGGCTAGCTCATCTGGTTTGATCACACAAAAGCGCTACTGTAGCTCAAATTGCTGAAAAGCTTAATTCTGGGCATGGCACATAGTGCATCACAGTTTTATCTGTATGGTTCTGCATAGCCGCAGATGGGTCAGCACCTTTCATAGTGACGTGAGCATTAGAACAGGACCATGGAGCATTGGAAGAAGGTTGCCTTGTTTAATGAATCATGTTTTCTTTTAGATCACGTGGGTGGCCAGGTGCATTAGCGACGTTTACCTGGGGAAGAGATGGCAGCAGAATGCACTATGGGAAGAAGTCAGGCCAGTGGAGGCAGTGTTATGCTCTGGGCCATGTTATGCTGGGAATCCTTGGGTCTTAGCATTTATGTGGATGTTACCTTGAAGCGTACCAAATACCTAAAGATTTTTGCAGACTATACACACCCCCTCATGGCAATGGTGTTCTCTGCTAGCATTGGCCTCTTACAGCAGGCTAAGGTACCCTACCACACTGCACACATTGTACAGCAATTGTTTGAGGAACATGACAAAGAGTTTGAAGTGTGGCCTTGTCCTCCAAATGTACCAGAATCCAATTGAGTATCTGTAGGATGTGTTGGAACTCCAAGAATAACCTAACTTGCAACTTGCAGGACTTGATCTGCTGATAATGTTTTGGTGTCAGATACCACAGGACATGTTCAGAGGTCTGTAATGAACAGTTCTGCAAAGGCTGGGAATCAGTGTGACTAAACTCTGGAGAATGCTCCCAGGATACTAGCATCAGAATGCCTCAGAGCTGTTTTGGCAGCACGAGGGAGACCTACACAATATTAGACAGGTAATTGTAAAGTGACTGATCAGTGTACTCGTTGCCTAGTAACTTGGTATTCAAACAGCAAGAGCAGGCTGATGCATATATGAAAATGCAAACAAGAGATGAGGTAAATTAATATTTTAGAGCAAGTAGCAAATTGTAGTGGGTTCAAGACATTATGATCAGGCATGGAAAGCTGCATAGGTGCTCTCTTATCTTGTGGTTGGATACATCTATTATATGTGACCACAAACACGATTATCTAATCATCATCTCGGCAGAGAAATATCAAAGGGAGTGTGTACATTTCTGTTGCAGAATGTTTTGACACCTTCAGCATCTGCTAAATTTAGTGCAGACAAAAATATCCTCTGACAAAGACATATTTTCAAATGGCTATATGTGAGATGTTCTTTCCTCAGAGAATTCAACGTTTTCACAATCATAATGAGTTAATTCTGTTCCCTTATCAAGATTGCAATGCTTTGGATGCTGATTTTTTTTTTTCTTTTTTAGTAGTTCCTGATTTTATTTCCTAGAGGCTGCTAGAACTTGCTTAGGGAAATTATCTAGTCAGAATATAACAACATATAGAAGAGGGAAATAATCTATTTAAGGGAAAGCTAGTATAAGCACAACTCACTAACATGTTTTGTTTTCTTGCAGTTGGGTCATAGATAGGTTCAAGAGAGTCTCCAGAGCATGTTCACAGTTTGGTGAAGATGATGAGCCATCTGCAAGATTGAAGACAGAAAGATCATTTCTGATTCGGCTACATGTGGTGGCCCAGCTGGAGTGTCCAGAACCAGCTTACTAACACCTAAATGATACACAGAGTCAGATAGGCACGTAGGCTGCATGGCTCTCCATCTTGAATAGGAGGCTGTTGGCAAGGGGGCTGCACTGTTGCAGATTTGGGTGATTCTGTAGTCTGATGGATTTGAGGGCGTGTCAATTGCTGACCTCACCTCATGCTGTGTTTACTGATATTTCAGCTCCAACAGCAATGACTGGTCTGGAAGATCAGGCTGTTTCAGTACTTTTGCTGACCTTATTGTTTTGTTGTGGTTGCAATGGATCTGGAGCAGCATCAGGTGTTGGAAACCCTGTCCTCCAGTGAGTTAACCATATAAGTTACCAGGAACCTGACCTTTTTGGAGCTGTTTCCCATTCTGGTTGAATTTTGGTGGACCCATTTGTAGAACAGGGTGATTATCTTCTCTTGTGAACTTAATTGTGACCCAGGGTAATACATTGCCAGTGGCAGCTAGTGCTCAATTGGCATAACATTTTCTCTAGAACAAATAGAATCCCTTCAATGTGAGGGGTCCTGGGTATCTGGACATTTGCATGTGCCTTTGGGACCATGGGTGGAGCAGCACAGCCTAGCAGGTTGCAGCTCAAGACGTGTTGGAAAAAGCCCTATTGTGGTGAAACACATTATGGAAAGTATTACTTTGTGGGGTTTATACTTCTATACGCCATCAAGACAAGGCTCCACCAAATGTGAGCTACCATTGTTTTATTACTTATTACTCATTTAAGTTGATATATTGCACTATTGGATTTCTAATTTTCGTGTCTTGCATATATGTATGAATTACACTAAGAAATCTTCTACCAATCACATTCGCTGACACAAGGACCTACTGCCTACCCAAGAATTCCTATTGCACTGCAAAAATAATTTTAAAGGGCTACTCATAATAATTTATAGTCTATTTTGGACTTTTTTTAAGGCTACTTTGGACCATTTTATTAACCCACACCTATTATATATTATTGATAAAAGCACCTTATTGTCATTCCTGTACTTTTGTGGCATAGCCTTTTTTTTTTATCTCCTGAAGTGTGTACAGGGATCCCCTTCTTTTGGTTTGCTGCCTTCATTTTGATTAATTAGTGCTAAACTTGTTTCCTTTTTACTTAATATGCAGGTGGGCCTGCCTGGTCTATTAAATGATCATGTGGCATCCCACAGTAAGATGTAAAACTGCTTTAGCATGGCTTGATAACTAACTGTGGCTCTGGTGCCACATCCACTACATCCAGTGTTCTCCAGCAGGAGAAGCTGGACGGCTCTATACAGCAAAATGAGCTAATGTAAGACTGATTAGCTTAGATATGCTGGAGATGTGACATAGATGGGACTCAGTTAAGGTGGGGACAATATTTATTTATAGATGGGGGTTGGCATGCTATTGGCAACCTCCTCAAAAAGTATGCCCTATCCTAGGTTGCTTGGGTTCCAAGCCCTTGGCCACCACCACCACAAATAAAAGAAAAAACCTTCCTGCTAGCCTCATTCTATTAACAATGAATGTAATGGTATAATAAAAAAACAAATAAACAAAAAACACACAGTGCCAAAACAATTACCCAACCTTGCCAACCAAGGGTCCCATACACTGAGCATAGTGGAAAAATCAGTTAAAGGGCTTTTCCATGCTGTGCAATTTCAGGAAGAGTGCTCTGATTGGCTGGCTTGTAAGCCAATCAATAAGAAAGCTCTAATAGTCAAGTCTCACTTATCTCAAGACTTGTGAAATTTTACAGCAGGTTTTATGAAAGTTTTCCCTGGTTCATTTACATTATAAACCCACCAACTGACCATGGGTGGGGCCAGGGGTAGGGGGGTTACAATATTTTGACCCACCCATTTTAATTATAACCTATAACTGCTGACCACAGGTGGGGACAGAGCGGAACACTGTGCCCCCTGCAATATTATTTAAATAATAGCACCACTGTGGGCACACAAGTTTTTCAGTAATCTCTTCACCTCAATTCTTTAAGTTGAAGCTTCCACCCAATGACCCTGATTGGTACCTGTACCAAGTCCCACTGTACATTACTATTGACTGGGAAGCATTTGTGTCACTAATGCTGCCCCAAAAAAGTGCATTGGTCTGAATTAAAAGGTCAAACTTGCGTGAATGCACACCAGGCTGCCTGCTAATCAAGCAGGCCGGCTTTTCCAGCTCTCTCTGCAGGGTCCTAGTGTCCTGATCATAGTGCAAATGTGTCTAATGATGCGCTCGCACTTTGTTTTTTGGGAACAGTTTCCTGGTCACCCCAAAAATGGGACAAAAGAGAACAATGTCAAGACGGTAGGACAGGACCCTACAATAGGGACTGTCCTGTTGGAATTAGGATGATTGGAAGGGCTGCTTAAGTTGCTTCAAAATGCTATGTACAGTGGTCAGTTGTGTGCTTGATGCTTCTTGATATGTTGCAAATGTTCTTCAAGGTTAATTACTTGCAAAGGTTTGTTTTGATTCTGCCTGTGGCATTTTGGTCTTATAAACGTGATGGAAGACCACTCCAATCACTTCTCCATTTTGAGAAGTGGAGCTAAAATCAACAATCTTACAACAAGATCCTGGCAGATTGTTTTGTTAATCATGAAACTGAGGGTGTGCTTACATGTTTTCAATGAGATGCCGTAACTCAATAACTAATGTACATATTCCTTGTGATAACTGATAGCTGCAACGTAGAATTGTGTGCACAGGTAATAATTCATAAAGGGAGACTCTAAGCACCAAAATAACTACATCTTCATGTAGTTGCTTTGCTGCAATGATGCTGCCTGGCAATGTAAAACATTTCTGTTTTTGGGAAATAGCAATGTTTTATTTAATCTAAAACCTGCCTCTAGCGGCTAGCTAACAGATTCAGAGTCCTACAGGCATTTTTTCATTAAGATCCTTCTATTTTCAAAGCTATTCACATTTGGTGTCTTCATGCTGGGATAGATTCAGTGCTTTTCTATGAGATGCATTAGATTTGCAGAGTGCAGCAGTTGCTGCATATGCATTGTGACGGATCGCCTGGAACCCCGACCAGGTGCCTCCGAAAATTGCTGCTTCCTAGTGCTCACCGAGTACTTCCAAGTACTCCACCAGACACCATCAGCAAAGCGTTAAAGCTAGGCTGGGGTCTCGCCGACTTCCACCCACCCTGGACCCAAAACCAGGATCTAGCTTCCAGTGGGCAGATCTCTCCTCCACCAGAGAGTATAGCAGGATAGTAGCTCTTACAAGAGCTAGTGATATAGCAATCCAAGGAACAATCCCAAGAGCAGGGATTATAGCTGGTATAGCTTTCCCCCACAAGCACGAGACGAGGCTCTGTGTTGAGGGTAAACTGGGACTGGTTAATTGGTAGCTATAACTGGCCTTTTATGACAATCCCCATGCAAGGGGCACTCCCCTCTTGACCTGAGAGTAGACTACAGTACAAACATACATGCAATTACATTGGCTCTCAGGTACAGGACACTCCCATACATAACAAAGCAATCCCTCCACTATGCCTGGGAGATAATTAAGTCAGATACTGTACTAACTCAATTATCTCCAGGTAGAAAAAACACAATTTTTTCCCACACCCTGAAAGTACCTCCAAAACATATGGAAACCCCACAAAAACCCCTGCTAGCCCCGATTTGGGTGAACAATATATCAAAAATTCACCTAGATCGGTTCATGGGTTCGGGATTTCCATGGAGGTCTTAGTTTGGTCGGTCTCTTTCAGGAATACATAATACAGTCAAAATACCGAACGTAGAGGTTCGTGGTTAGAGTCAGTCTATGTCCCTCGTTCGGGAGCTTACTCCCAACAAACGCTGCTATTCCCATATGAATCCAGCCCAAAAATATGTATAGATGGAAGTCCCAGCAGTGTTCGCGCCGTTGAATGTCCGATTATAGTTCCATGCATTCGACGACCAAACACCGCTGAATGTGTTTGCGACTAAAGATGGCCACTGCCACATGTTCGCATGCCGAACGGCAATCACCAATTAAGTTGCGGTTACATATGTATCAGGGAGGTTAATGGGCTGCACACTGCACTTGTGGGTGGTCCCACTGTTCGGTAGTTTGTTTGGTATACGAACACAAACTCCTGATCCATTCGGTAAACTCCGTATACCGAACTGTATAAGTCCAAAAGGAATGAACGTGTCTTTAACCAGGGTTCATCACATGGGGCCATAGTCCTGGGGCAGGAGGCTGGCAAGCAAGCTCCTCCAAAAGCCTGTGGTGTGTGGTCAATGCTTCTCTGTGAGAAGTATTTCAATGGACTAAAATCATCCATACTGATGACTTCACCAGAGTAGGAGCAGCTGTCCCAGTGCTGCAATAAAGGTAAGTTTTATTACCTTTTTATTCTAACAACAATGAGCCATTTATCTAAAGTAAAAAAGAAACACTTCAATATTAATATATGTATTTTTAACATTGGGGTGTTTCTTTAAATGAAGGCTTTGTGGTGCAGTAACATGTAATTTACTTCTCAATATCCATACTGTAATTATTATCCATAAAGTTCTTCACCAGGTAAACACTCAGTATGTTAAATAAGTATTCAAATTGGTTGCTGTTTCATTATGTAGTTTTGGATAAAAAAACAAGTTTAACGTGACAGAATAGGCACCAGAGCCACTACAGGTTAATGTCCCTGCAGCCTTAGCAGTGTAAATGCTGCCATTTCTTAGAAAAGGAGGTGTTTACAATGCTGCGAACACCACCTCCAGAGGCACTTGAGTTGCTTCCTGGGTTTAGTCCTGGAAAGAGCAGCAGCTGAACACTACCCTTAGAAATGCTTTGACTCAATGCATTTCTAAGAGGAGATGCTGATTGGTATACAGCGGCGGTATGTAATTCATATCCACTAGCCTCCCAATGTTTCCCTATGAGAAAGCCGTGGATTTGCTGAGATCATCAGCAAATAATCCAGGAGCCGGGAAAGCCGCAGCGAAACTGGCATGCTGGGCATGAAGGTGAGTAAAATTTCCTAATAGTATAGTGTTCCTTTAAAAAAAGAGCAATACAACTAGACCTAGCTCTTAAGCTTGCAGTGTCTTTTTATATTTTTAATTCTGTTCTTCATATACCTAGGTATTCACCATGCTCATAATTTTTGTTGAACATAGTGTTAGCCATGCATTAGAATTGTTAAATGACAATTCCTTATCATCAGTGCCAAAAAATTTTACTTTTGTATTTTATTTAATGGAGGAAATTGATGCCCAAATTAAGAGGAATGACCAATACTTTATTTAAAACACCTTTCTTAACGAATAATGAAAAACTGCTGAAGCAGGGGTGCATTGCCAGCAATGCATCCTGGCGAGATATGTTTCTGCAGAGCTTCTGCAAGCTTGCGATAAATCTAAAGCAATAGAGACTTGAGCAAAGTTATACAGCTGCATCTGGACCTATCTAATTTCTTCTGTTTGACAAGTAGACAACTAGAAGGTCTACAAAAGATGCCCACTCTTGATTCTAGACATGGCACAGTCGACCAGCTGGAATGCCAGAGTGATTTGGATTTTTGACTTCTGTTTTTTCTTACTTGGCCATTTACCACTCTGTATTTTAATTTGATCATGAGTTGATAAG